TTCGCCTTCCCACTCCATACTGCACACGTTCACGTATGATGGCAAAACAGGCGTCTCAACTATACCATGGCTGGGTATATGTTGAATCGTGAATGAGACTACACAAAAGAAAATACACATTCGCTTGTAAGCAGACTACATATTTACACCCATATCAACTGACATCGAAATTCTATCTTCGGAATGAGTGCTGAATGTGTGTTACAAAATAACCGGCTTGATGGGCAGGGAAGTATTCCTACCCGTTTCCTGCATTAGAGAGGATAAGGGCTTTGGATGCCATAGAAATGGTATCATATTACATTTAAGATGTGAGTATTCTTAATGCGGGAAAATAAATGAGGAATACCGGAGCCTTATTGTCATAGCATCACACATGCCGTACTCTGGAAAGGGTGGTCTCATCATGGGAATATCTAATCATTCAACAACTTATTCCGATCTTTCAGATGCAAGATGACGTTTTTGTTTAATGCAGCAAGCGTGTCGCATGGTCACACCCGTAAGAACACTTGAGTATAAGAAGTAATCCTCGGGTTACTGCTGAGTTGCGCTAAAATTCCCAACTCTTAGAAGATGTGAAACCGAAGTCAACTATCAGTAAACATCGACCTATGTTTTTCCTCTGGGAACTTCCAAGATAGAAGCCTGGAACGGACGCCATTGGCCATATCTGCTGGTGCTCTTGAGGATATATCTGCCTCGACACAAGACAAGGGTCGACGTATTTGCGTAAAGCACGACGTCCTAACCATCACAAAGAACACGAGAGAAGACGAAGTCGAAGGAAGGTCCAGGCTCGGGCGCAGCCTCTATGCCGTACAGATTACTTTAGAATATAATTAAACCAAGTGTCGAGTACGACATGTGTAACATTTTACAACTGAAGAGCGCAGGCAGCGAAAAGTTTGTGTCTGCCATGCACGAGACATTTGTCATCATGAGCCAACTTACATTGACATGAAAGCCTGAGCAGCTCTTTCTCCAAGAATTGGATTCTGTCCACTTCTGCGAAATCTCCTCTGCTCCCTACGCCTCGCTTTCGTCTGATATTTAAACTCGCAGTTGCCCTGCTTTCGTACAACTCTTGTAGAAACGCGTAAGTCCAAATCCGAGAAGAGCTTCGAACACTTGGCGGGCTCTAGAACCAATTAAGGACAAGCGCTGCGGCTGGTCTGAAATCCGTTTATCTGTACATCAGTATCGATATCTCGGGACGGGGGTCCAGGAAACAACTGTGTGGGTTTTCAGAAGGCTATGAAGATCCCCTTACGAAGGAAGACTCACTCCTAGCCCAAGATGGATATCCGAGAAGCCATAAGTTTTCGAAGTTGGTCCGATTTCTACTTACTCCTTCTACTCCCGGCCTGAGCTTGAATGATGTTCGTAGATCTTCCATGGTTTTGTAGCCTTCTTGCAATTTCGTCACAAACAACTTGTGTGCATGTGGTACATGTTATTATACTCTTAGATAGCAAACAGTTTCCATCATGAGAGTCTCCGCCCTATATATGTCCAATGGCGTAGATATTCATGCGATAACAATTGAGACCAATACTCATGATTCGTAAAGTCTTCTCGGCCTCGTGCCACGAAACTATCGCGACCGTCCATGATACGTGAAGACAACTTTACAACAAAAATTTCTAAATCCAAGGCCGTTAATTGCTATGTGCAGACATGTGGTTGGTTAACTACCACACTTCCGGCAGGGATTGAAAAGAGGAACAGATTTCACCACCCGATACCTGTGAACTAGAGACTGATATCAAATATACAACGATATATCAGCAGGATTGTCATGAACATGTGTAACCAGTGAGATGGTTATCGTATATTAATAACCTTACAAAGGAAAAACGTTCTTGGAGGCTCGGCTTCCCCCTTCTGCGACTATGCTGGGCTCTGTCTGGAGTCTTTGCGCTGTAAAGCACAATCAACAGAGATTGATGGAGCAGACTTGAATGCACCAGTCTGGCATTGTCTTCTTCTTATAACACTCGGAGCAGTTAGCACTAGGACATTTATCCATGACACCACGGTGACTCCTGAACGCATGTCAGAACAGCCTGCTCAATAAATACTTAAGAAGGAAAAAGAATTATGAAAATTTAAGAATAAACAAGTAGAGAGCTGAGAAAAAAATGTAATAAAATTTATAAAATACACAATTGAAAATATGCTTTCAAATGGATTGTATCTCTATGATGATCTGAAACTTGTAGATTTTGGCTTTTAGTTTAGCCCAATTTAAATATTTCAGTAAACGAACTTACCCACCTGTATCCTTCAATTTAAAACTTAAAACTTGATGTTTACTATCAAGGTTTATAACTCTTCACATAACCAAGTCAGAAATATATCGTTGTAGATTATTTTTCCATAACTTGTAGAATCCGATTAGCTTACAAAATAGACATAGTTTTCATAGTTTTAACACCTAGATTGAGAATCTGGTCTTTACTCTCTACATGTCCAATCATCAAAATTCTCTTCTCGCTCATCCAATTCCACCATTGAAATTCTTGGAGTTTCAGTTTTACTACTATAAACTTTTCCTGTGTACATCTTGAGATAACTTACTGAATCCAATAGTGTTCACCTTTGATTCCTGAGACAGTTAATGTTCCATTATATTTGATTCTAGCAAAACTGTAATCTCGTGTCAATAACATTTCCAATTTATCTCGAGTAGTCATAATATTCATTATCTTTCAGGTATAATGATATAATATAGTATTATCACCTGACTAAATCATGTATAAATGATCAGTGTTAAGGTCCATGTAACATTTCAATGCACTTGTTATGTGCTCTGAAAACTCTTTTAATATTAGGTTTGAAAGCATTGAAACTACAAGTTAGATGGAAGCGTATTGTTTATGTTGATGAATTGAATATGTAAATTTTCTTATATATTAAACACAAGTGCCATTAGTTGATAAGATATTGAAGGTTAGCCATCAGCGTTAGAAAAGACTTGATGATGTTTATTAACATCTCAAATTTCGATTTCAAATCATATATTAATTTCAATGCGTATCTTTCGTGATAACTACATCCACAAAAAACGCGTTTTCCATAGTCATGATTTATCATTGAAGCTTTATTTTAAGATACTCAATTGCTGCTCACGTTGTTCATAGCTAAAAGAAGGTTCTCAAGTTTGGAAACAAAAGTGTTAACCTTATTAGATTATGGAATATGGACTAGTATTTTATTTTCTTTCAATTAAGTTGAACACCACATCTCCATCTATACTTTCTCTTCTGTAAACTATCAATTTTATATCCATGTACTGAAAAGTTTGGATAGAAATAACCTAAGTATGGGAACTGCCGACACAGATGCCACACATATTAACAGGTTTTAAAAAAAAAAAAATCCGGTGTCACCTTAAACAATCCCCATGATTTAAGAACTGAATTTGTATATTTGCATATTTCATGTATTATCAATCATTGATAATCATCATATTTTTAGTGTAATAAATTCTGAAAAGTATGGCAATTGAATATTGTAAAAAGTTAAACAGCCTAAAAATGAATAGCTCATACTCGACTAAATCTTAAGAGCTTAAAACAGTTTAATCAAATATTTCATCAGTCATGCTGTAATAAATATTCATGGAGAGTTTCAAGACTTCATGTACTATAAAGAGATGGATTCTACTTATCTCCATGAATAGATATATCTACAAAGTCATGGTAAGTCAGAATTGACTTTCCATGATTTTGTAGATATATTCATACCAAATATCCGTGCTAAGACTATCTGGTTGAAGAATAATGTGATTTATTGGAATTTATGCGTTACTAAGTTGAACATTTTGGTTGAGAATATGCTAAAAAATGAAAGCATTTTGAGAAAAATATAAAGGATTTACCAAAGAATCTTGGAAAAGATTATTATTATATATTTTATTTCATCTTTCCTCAAGGTATTACTTTGATCGTTTGTAACATCGTTTGATCCGAATTTTAAATGATGAATATAACAAAGTAAAGCATATACCATAGTATGACAGATGATAATAACTATCAACGGACTTGTTTACAATGAAAAAATTATCAAAGATTGATTTCGAAAAAACATGAGTAAAAAAAATACCTCATAAGTATTTCAAAAAATGTCGTGAAACCTACGTGACCACTGAAACAAAATTTAACCAAGGCGTGAATGCTAGTATTGTATGTTCTGCTTCACGTAGGTTGCTCACTGATGAGGGTGTAAAATGAGCGATGGAAATGCTTATTGTCATAGATGATCTTCTGCTGTCTGTACTCACGGTAGGCTGACTTATGGTGACTTGTAATGATGCATAAATAGAAGTTGTGACAACGATCTACTGTTGAGAAAGATAGTAGATTTACACAATAACAGAATGGCAATGCACATTATAACTCGGGGTACTTTATTGCAGCAGCACACTATTCTTATTTTCATGTACCATAAGCTTCTTATATACCCCGGAAAGCTTTGTATACAGTATATATAAGTAATGTATAGCTTTCTCATGTTTGCTTAATTCGCTGACTGAAGAACAAATGATCGTGAATGTCCAGTTTGGAGTATTTGACTTGGACATTACGCCACCTACCAGGAATGTAGAACAGAGTAAAGTACAACACGAGTCTCAATGAAGAGGTACGACGTGGGGTAGATTGCTCAGAATATAAACGAGGCACTGTTTATTCCACTGAAAGTATTTTAAAGGTCAGAAATGTACTCCATTCGTACCACACATAATTCGAATGTAACTTCTCATTCATGGGGAATTTCAATCATGATTGATTTAGATTTTCTTTGTTAAAAAAATAGTTTACAAATTTTAATTATCTATGTGTTATTTATTTCTTCTTTTCTTGTTTTATAATCTTAATTAATATTGTAACGTTACTAATTCGAAATCCAAGTTTAGCTAATATACTTTACAGTTGACAGTTATAAAACTTTTAAATAGAAGATTCTAAATCTTCGTCATTGATATGAATGTCCGTGGCCAACACTGAAATATCATACATAGATGGAAGGTTTGCATAAATATTTGGTGGGCCGTCAAATGCCTTCTGAGATTGTGTGTGCACTAAATCCTTTACCACTATTTACACTTTCCTTGGACTGGTATAAAAGATTGACATTTGCTAGTCAAGTAACACTCACCTTCACGAATACACTGCACGTACTCTTATACAATCACGGACTTGAGATGGAGAGGCGTACATCATCCTCACCTGCCCAAGAGCTAAAAACATCTCTGAGCTGTTTGTGGACTGCGATAAGGACCATAACGACTAAACGGCATGTTTTCTATACAAAGTCCGCATGGACATCCGGCTTTGAATCAGTGAATGAGGGCTCCCTGCCGAATCATCTCGTCGACGATCAAAGCAGCAAAGCCGATCATAGCGAGACGCCCGTTCCAGCGCTCCGCTCGGGCATTGAAGGGACCCCAGCTTCGAGCATCAGTCGTTTCTCCATTCATAATTGGGATCATGGAGGCATAAGTAAAAACCTGAACTGCTCCAACGAAGAAGACTAGGCCAGAGGTAGTTGGGTTGTAGATCTGCTCAATCACGGTCAGACCGGTCCATTTCTCGGCGCTGAGAGCCCACACAAATCCAAGCATTGCCTGGAAGGATACATTGACAAGTCAGAATCGTTACCCATCGAAGCGCTTGCCTCTTCGATTCCCAGCCGAACAAACTAAGCTGGAGGGTTTCAACTGTTTGATTATAGAATGAGTTGTTCCGAAGTCCATCTCACATCCCTTATACAGTCCATTGTATGCAGTGTAGATGAGGAATTCTATATTACATGCGCAATTTGAAATGACAGACGGAGATAACTAGTGGATAAGCATACCATGCGAGTCCTGTACGTGATCGCATCACTTGAAGCTGATGACAAATTCCACATGCTTTTTTACTTAATTGCATTTATGCACATTGTGTCTCACCAGTCGCCCGTTGATGACCTCTGGTGCAGCTCCATCCAATGCGAATATACTACCAAATGATCGCGATACAGTCTCCGCCCGTCTCTCCCGCTCTGGCCGGGCATACATGGAGTTGGAGTTCGGAACAGCTCCTAACACGGACTGCTTCTCGGCCTGGCTCTCGAATTGACTTACAAGAACGTCATCGTCAGTGACAGGATTCTTTGTGGCTTTATCTACCGATGCTCTGAGTCCACTGAGTGGGTTGCTGTTGTCGTGACCTCCTTGACAACGAACCACGAGCCTTTGGCTCTTGTGCACGGAACAAGAGCATGTCGAGGCAAAAGCGGGGAGAGGCTTGGCTCCCAAGAATGGCGTGGGCCTTGGGCACAGCAGCGCTGCCATTTCCTCTTCCGCGGGCTCAAAGTAGGAACCTCGGCGTTTACAGCGATTCTGCCTCCTGCCTCGGACCTGTGCTCGGCAATCTATACGGGCCGCTGTGCTCTGGCAGCCCATGAGCTGCGTGAGAGTGTATCAGCGACGGAGGATCGGGCTGATACCTGTTTGAAAGGTCAAGCGCTACCTTGTCCAATTTATGAAGATCCTCATACTCATGTCTGGGGACTACGCGTTGCACCATCAGCCAATCGGCAATATTACACTCCTTGTAGCCGCCTCGTGCAAATAGTACGGCGGCATAGAGTTTTATATATTATTTCCCCGTTCCAGTTGTTTGAAGTTAAACTACATCAATGAACTGTCAATGTGGAAACTCGGTCCATTTAAATCAATATTACATTTTTGTCCTCGTCAAATTATTATGTCACACGTACTATATTACAATTATTTTTTTTACCAGCTGATTGAGGGGATTATCAACTATCTCTATGGCTACGGTATTCTCTCTGATGTCCGCGTCAGAGTACCACTCAAAGCAAGTCTTTCCTGCATGCGGCGAAGTTTGTCATGGAGATTGCTTTACGGTTGTGAAGTCTTAGCTCGGACTATGGGAATACTGTTAAGTATCTGTAGTGCGTACCTTCTCAATCCACAGTCTTTGAAATCTGCTTACCATTCAGATCTCCGAACCTCTTTCCCTCGCGCGAGGGTTTCGCTTTTGACAGGATGTACCAGCCAAAACACCCGGGTCAAAGGAGAGATCCGTGCGGCTGGACAGTACTCCTCAAGCTGGAAGAGAATCGCGAAAGCGGCGGGTATGACATCTGACGCATTGCGGACGTGAAAAAAGAAGGTTTGGGAGGCTGATTGGTGCAAACCATGCACGAGAACTTCGTACTAATGCATCGACTTCCTGTACCGCGGCATGAATTCCAAAGCAGCTCCAATTTGTCCGGTTGACCACGGCATATTCAAGTCTGTACAATGATTCTCGCTTACACCTGACATCGAAGTTAGCAACTCTGGCGCTAGCTTGTACGACTCCTTCACATGCACAAGAGTCTCCGACGACCTCTAAGAAATTCGCAGAATGGCAGTGCGTCCCTGAATCATTCCGACTCTGGCCAACACAGCCAGTGCTGATCTGCCGTGCCAAAAGCTTTGTTATAGGCGGCGAGCAAATTTAGTTGGTTGTGAAGAGGGTCCACGCGGGAACAACCATCCAGCCAGACTGGACGAGCCTGTCGACAGAGCAACTTAAGAGCGGACGGCTCTTAAGTTGCTACGTTCTCAATTTTCGTGGAGAATCTCATGATGATCTAGATGACTATTGCACATAAACAACCCACAGAAGTGCACAATCCGTGAGTGAATGAAGGACTTCTGACTGGAAAAGTTGATGAAGATATGGACATCATTTCCAGTTGGTCTCATAAATTTGGATATGCGCAGAGCCTCTCCAAGAGATTGCACCACCGCAACTTCCATTGATGGAGGCGGCTACTTTTGTAAATTGTGCAGTGGTCTCACCTACTGAATCTACTCGATGGACTAATGATCACTAACAAGCCGGCCACGCTGGTAGTTGTGTGGGCTCACCACACCGACAAGCTCACACGCTTTAAATTGTTTACTTAGTCGGGCCCGTTTGGACTTCACTCACGCATCCGTCGTATGAATAATGTGCGGAGAATCGACTGTGACCAGGTGCCAGTTGCTGCTCCCTTGTAAGCGCTCCAGCATTCAGCCACTCATCGACTCATGGTATATCGAGATTGGATGTCACGAAACACGAAATTTCAGAATTTTGTAGTGGAGGAATGATTAACTGACTAATTTCCGTCAGGATGGAGAATTGTGAAATATTGTACCCCAGCGAGTTGCTGATTCTTTTAGTGCCGGATAGAGTCCACTGCATCTGGCCGTGTATTGCGGAAAGTGGACTCAACAGAAATACGACCTGCAAAGGAGTCGGTCTTTTACCATCGCCTGGTATGATGCCACGCACCGAACTCACTTGTATCTCCGAAAAATTACCATTTCGCCCTTAAGGTGGGTTGTTCCGCATCGTCTCTGACAAGAACTAACGTCAATGCATTTAGGACTGTCAAATAACAACACATGAAGCCATATCTTTGAGTCCTTCAGAATATCTACAATGATTGTAATACTTGAAGTCTACAACCCCAAATTCTCTCTGAAATAAGCACAGCTCTTGGAAGCAAAGGTCTATAAGCAAAAACTACGACTTAAAGAATAAAAATTATATAGCACAAAAAAGGTTGCTTTCGTCCTTACGATATGATAAATAGGCTAAAACACTTTTTAAATCCGTCAAACAAACATGACTTAGAAACTTTTGTTCACTTTGTGTGACTATAGTCTTGTGTAATTATAAGAAAATGAGCTGAATATGAACTTGGTCTGATCAGGATGTTGTATGATCTCTGTGCTTAAAGTGCCATATGCTTGCCTATTTTACGTAATAGGCAACATGATGAACTTGGAAGTCCAGTTCGTTGACAATATGGTTCTATCTATACAGCTATTACTACTACAATAGCAATCGTTTTCATGTACGAAAATTCTGAACGTTATTTCGCACTGAAAATGAAGGAAACTAGAAGGTGGTAAAAGTAACTGGTAAGAAGAAAGAATGACTGGACTTTCTGACAATTGCCATCAGATATTGTAGACTGGACAAAATGCAGGCAACAGTTCCTGTATCTTAGATGGGTGGGGCTGGGGCTCAGACCGGCGTCTATCGAAGTACCAGCTATGAAACTTTACGGAAGAAGAGATCTTCACGTAGGAGTAGCAGATGCAGTCAGGCTTTCTCCTCATCTTTCGAAAGGGATTCTGCTGACTGCAGTTGTCGGCGGCCGGTCTGTTCCAGACCACGACTTTGGAGGAATTCCATTTTGGACAGGGCAATCTGAACGCCGTTTGTTCGTGGAAAGTAGCCTTAAACCGCAACACTTCTTTTACGTCCAAACGTTGGCCTCCGAGATAAAAAAGCTAATCTTATCTTATTCAATGCATTGCTCTTTTTTACTTTCTACCTTCCTGACACATGAATAATCATCATGATCATTTTCTATGCTATCTCTAAGTGTTATAGCACGTAACAAATGTGATGAATTTTTTACTCTCGATGATCCAGTGATGTTTTCAAAAGTGCTATGCTTTTTGTTATATGAAATTAAATAATATAGCAAAAAAGATAGCAGTTTGGAAAACATGCGAATATGAAAGCATTTATATCAAACTATGATATAAAATTATTCTGACAAATTTTTTTATTTCAAAAAATAATAATAATACAAAAAAATAAAAGTATTATAAATATGTATAATACTATATATATGGCATCTATGTAAAATGATATTGATCATTACTACATGCAAGTCTGAGGTATCGTTGACATATAATCGACTTCAACCTTAAATTCCTGGTTCCGATCACAATGCATTATACTTGTATAGAGATGTATAACTTTGATACAATCTTGTTCAGTTCTCAACTACTTCAAAATCTTATAAATGCAAAATAACTAAATTTCAGTGACCTTTTGGTTGAAAAGAATTCAAACTAACTGAAATTAGTTTTATATTAATGACTCACGGAATCAAATGGATGAATAAGAAAATTAGTACTTACAAAATATAGATTGAAATGAATAGGAGATGTGTTGATTTTCAAGTACATATAGAATATATATAATTTAAGATCTACTTGAATAAAATTGTTTATATAGATTTACATATAACCTAGATTGAGGAATATCTCCCCACATTTCCAACTTATTGATATTACTGGTTAGAATGGTTATGTTACTTCAATAATTATTTTCAAAGTTTGAATTATGTTAATTGTTGGTTAAATATTGTTTCATTCAAAATGTTAATCTTGAAGCTAAAATTTGAAAACTTTTGTAGGATGAAGAATGCCCTATATCAACTGATACAACCGATAATCTCCACATGCAAACACAAAAAAGCGTATATATAAGCAGACACGAACATATATATGGTTTGACTTTGCCGGACTACGTTCACGGGATGATGAGGTTTGAAACATGAAAAATATAACTATGCACATCTACAAATTTTCACTTATATTCCACTGTATTTTGCCGATTGATCGCTTTTAATTCTTTCTGCGCGTATTTTTTGTGTAACTTTGTGTGCACTCCAGCCACGTCTTAATCATTGCAGATTCAATCATGTTCACAAAAGATAAGAAAATTACTTTATGGAATATCGGGGAACGCAAAACACTTGCTGGAATCCAACTCGGTTTATTTTACTCGATGGGGCCCACAACAACCTTGCATCTCACTGATTCCATGTTCCAAAACAAGATTTTCTAATCCAATAGTTGGCAACTATATTGGAAGTAATGACAAAAGTACTTTAGCCATGAGGCTGAAATGATACTATGAAAATCTATAAATGATTGTCATGACAAAATTCAATTCGAAATCAAGCCTTCTAATAAAAATTGCCATGTACACCTTGACATTGATATTTTGAAGCTCAAGTCAAGCTTTTTGTCTCCCTTTGTTCATTATCTTTGGTTCAATCGTCGGGATAGCTCGTTCCAACTACCGAAATATGAACTTGTGGTTTTATCTTCCTATATAATTTTGAAAATTTTTTTATTATCAAAAAATTGCATCTGTGGGTATATCGTTGAAAGGGTGAAAGTTTCAAACTCTCATTAAAAAGAATTTGCAAACATTTAAGGAGTTTCGTTGGAAGTGGCTCTGCTTGCTTGTTAGATACATGCAGCCCGTTGGAAAAAAATACCTACATTTGATTGTACTTAGCCCAGAGATTGTATTGGGACATATGTGTAACAATCTTTAGTTGATTAAAACTAAAATACAGCTTACTCTAAATGTTGATATAGATATTTTAGCGTCCACTAGACACACTGCCACGTCAGCGATCCGCACGCTCGATAATAAGAGAGTAAGTATGTTAGTTGACAACGCCACGCTTTTTAGGCAAGGATTGAGTGTGTAAGTTAGTGTGTTAGTTGGTAGCGTCCCGTCAGCAATCCGTGTCCTTGTTAGTATTATCTGCCACGTCATCTATTCATTAGAAGTGGTATGAATGGTGGTACTTGTTGGTGAGAACTATATAAAGGAGTGAAGAATCATTGTTGGTATCTCTCATCTTCTGAGTTTATAT